TTTTTCCCCCTACCTCTTCCCTTCTAGGCTTGTCTGGGGACACGAGCAAGAGGAAAGCTGTCATTGCAGACAGAGTGAGTCACTCACCTCTTCCTGACTGCATTTCCATCTATGCTGCTGTGATCCTAACTGTGTCCCTGGAGGGAATGGCTTCTGTCCTCCAGAAGCTCATCCAGAGAACTCTAGAAAGTGTACATGTGCCTCTCTTGCTAAGATTGTGAGCAGGATTTTAGAAAAGACTTTGGAAATACCTTTTGGGTAAAAGTGGGGATAAAATCTGCAGCATTAACAAATCAAAATGTGACAATTCAGGCCTTGAGATCTCTGGTCCCCTCACAGTGGAGAGAGACCTTTTTTATGGTTAAATGCAGAATTTCCTGGCCTTTAGTTGGCAAGTGTATCATATGGCACTTGGTGACTTCCAGGATGGAAACTTTGTTCCATGTAGACATGGACATTGAATAAACTCTTCCACTGATCCTGTTTAGTTGCTACAGGAACCTTTTTGTGGGAAGGATGTGTTTAAAATACACAATTACTGCAATAATTATTTACCTGTGCTTAGTCCTTAATGTGTGTTTTATTTGCAGGTAAATAAGTTTTGCCATTTTAAGATACTATGACTTAATCTTTGGGTAGAAACATGGCCTGGATGAGCTTTGTGCTTCAGGATGTGTTCATTTGCATGAAAATTTGCTGGCTGCCCAGTTTCTCAGCCAGCTGAAGTTAGTGTAGGCCTTCAGTATCCCACTGGGCCACTTGGATGCCGTGGTCTCCTGGCAGCTTCTTCCACCCTCTCCTTCCTGCTCACAGCAGCTCATACCCAAAACAGGACCACAGAGTTTACAGTGTTGCCAGCTCCCAAGTCAGCCTATTAACTGTGCTACCTCTAGTGGAGGATTTGAATGATTCTTCTCATTTATTGTAATTCAGATGGTTGAAATCCTTCTCCATTATGCTGATCGGACTTTGAAGAAATGCCCTGACCAAGGGAAAATCCAGGTGATGGAGCAACATTTTCAGGTATGGTGCTTCAAAGGACTCTCTAGTCTTTTGAATTTTTAAATCAGACTTTGCTGCAAAAATTACTTGTCTATTTTTGAAAAATCTTGCTCTGGTTCACCTGAACTCTCACCTCTGTTGTGTGCAGTAATGAAATCAGGACTCAGCTATGGCTGGGCAGCAGAGCAGACCCTGCATGCTCTCTGTCCTCTGCAGAAGTCTGACTAGAGGGGTTTTTTTTCCCCATATGAACCAGCATATGGAAAAACTTGTAACTGAGCCAGCTACCAGCTGATTCAAATCACTCATTGATTCTGCTCTGTATGGGCCAGCCCTCATCCTTTGCTCTGCAGGATGTGCTGCTGGGCAGGATTTTTGCCAGCCCCTACAGCTTTTTCCCTGTTTCTCCTGCAGGAGGTGGTGCCTGTCATAGTTGATTACTGCCTCTTGCTCCAGCGCACGTAAGTCTGAGTTTTCCCCTGTCTCCCAGGGCAGAACACCACCCCATGTACTCCTGAGTGCTCTCTCTTATAATACCACATGGTTTAGAGGAATTCTATCACATCACAGCTTAGAGGAATGCTTAAAAACTGATAATGAAGTCAGGATACTCCTCTTTGAGTGAGTGTCTTAGATTTTCACTGATGTATTGAGGAAGAAAAGTTGGCTTCAAACTGTTTCCCCCACACCATCCCCTTAAAGAAGAGGCTGCCTTGATAGATTTTTCCTGTGGTTCATTTCCCTTCTATCCTCAGTTTTTCTGCTGCAAGATCCATAGTCAATTTATTCTGTGTGGCTGCCTGTAACTTGCACCACTGTAGGAGCTAAATGAGGTGTTCAGCTCCTGAATTTGAGAAATACAGAGAAAATGGAGTTTAATTGGAAGCCCTTGGGAAGTGGATAAGTAAAGACCTTGTAATAAGATTATTTAGTTAACTAAACACTTCTTTCCTCCTAGGGATCTATTATTTAACCAGATATATGATAAGATGAGTGAGAATTCTGTAGCTAAAGGCATCTTTCTGGAGTGCTTGGAGCCATATATCTTAAGTGATAAGTTGATGGGAATCACAGCCCAAGTGATGAAAGACTTGCTGCTTCACTTCCAAGACAAGAACAGGTTAGAAAATTTGGAAGCCTGCATTGTGCATATGGATATCACCAGCTTAGACATACAGCAGGTGAGCTGTTGTACTGCCTACTGTGTTGGGTTCCTCTGGATAAAGGACAACATCCCCTTTTGGCCACCAGTTTGTAACAGAACTTAGCCTGGGATCAAATTCAGAGAATGTGGGAATTATTTGGCATGGCTGTGCCCATTCTGTAACATGAATGCTCCTACAAACAGGATTTGCTCCACCAGTTTGTTTCCTGGTGCAGGTTACTGCATCAGCAGCTGAATGTGTTGGAAGCTGCTGGTCCATCAGGATTAGTCAGATATTCACCATCAGCCTTTCCTGTGTTGAGCACCTTACCTAACTTCAAAGGCTGCAGGGGCACAGAAGCCTGGAGCTGCAGTTGTCAGTTCAGTGCCTGCCAGCCTGCTCTGCTCAGGTCCTTGCTCTTGCATGGCAAACTCAGTGGAGCCAGGAGGTGTTCCTGCTGCATACTCCTGGTTTTCTTGGCCACTTTTAGTCCCACATCATGGCTTTCCATTCAAAAGAGGGAACTGCTTGAGATCTTGACAGATTCACTAACCCAACCAAAAGGCAAACTAGTGCAATCAAGGGTTTTGAAGAACTGGTTGGGTATTTTTTAATTCCTTAACTTCATGCAGGTTGTGAATGTTAGAATCTAGACACATGTCCATGTTTGCTGTGTGAGCAGTTAGCTGGATGCTCCCTCTGGGGACTCAGGACAATTGCAGAGGCTTGTTCTGCAAGTGACAATTCTCATTCTGCTTTGAATTGTACTGTAGGATGATGCAAATTCAAGAAAGATTGTACTGGAGAGACTGGGGTAATGGAAAACTGTGAGCTGAGAGCAGTTGTATGTCTGCATTGTGCTTTGCTTGCCTTGCAGGTAGTTCTTCTGTGCTGGGAAAACCATCTCTATGATGCCATGATCTATGTCTACAACAGTGGGATGAATGACTTCATTAGTCCCATGGAGGTAGGAAAGATGCTCAGTGCAGTGAGTGATCTGTCTGTTCAGCACACAGGCTTTCTGGGAAACATCTTTTCACACTCCATGCATTAGCTGCTCATTCAGTGTGTGTATATTCTTGTTCTTTTTCGTTTCATGGGGAAATTATATGTGGCATCTGTGGTTTATTTGACCAGATGTAATAGAGGAGAAAAGTAACTTGTAATTACTGGGCTTTAGAACACCAATTTCCCTGCTGAGGTGGCAGTGCTCTGCAAAGTTAGAGCAGGAAATTTAACTGTTAATAAAATGGAAAAAAGAAGCAGCAGAAGAGAAGATCATGACTTAAGAAGATTGCATTGCAGATCTCTAACAAAATGTCTAACAGTGTTATTGCTGGTAGTGAGCTGGGTCTGTGTGGCATGATGTGCTGAGAAAGCATCAACTTTCTGCACAGTGGGATTGATGGAGGTGTATTTTCTTCCTTCATACTGTTTTTCCCCTGTTGACACAATAGTATATTAATGTGTGTCAAAGATACAAAGCTAAAATATGTGTTGCTTTCTAGAGCAACATATTTAGATGAACTCTTGCTCTACATACCCAAACTAAAGGCTCTCTAGTGACCCTGCTAGGTAGGTTGAAGGTTGGGATAATCTCTGGTGGCTGCAGATTCAGGAAGAGGGGCTGGTAAAAATGCTCTGACTGTTACTGCTGGGACTCCTGAACATTGCTTTATGTAGTGTGACCTGTGCTTAGGGTTGGAGCTGATTGAATGAAGGCTGTTTTTTTGTGTGTCTTAACATCAGCTTAAGAATATTAAAGAAAGGAATAAAGAAAAGCATCTTTTACTACATCTTGATGTCCTCTGCACCTTTTCATCATGAGAAAGCAGAGTTTTTGTGGGAAGCTATTTTGTTGATCTCTACTTTTAAACCACACAGATTCTTTGCTTTGAGCTTTTCCAGCTGCTTGAGCACTTCTTTCTTGTTACAGAAACTCTTCAAAGTCATTGCTCCTCCACTGAATGCTGGAAAGTCTCTCACAGGTACAGAATTCTCTTCCTTTGAGGGTTTTTAGTTCTGATATTTGATGTCTTGAATGTATCTATTCCAACAGAGCCATGCAAAAAGGGGGTACATACCCCATATAAGAGTCTTGGGGAACAGAGAATTGTTCTAGTGCTGTTTACTGTGTGTAGAACTCTGCACGTGTGTCAGATGAGATGTTCTGACAGCTGGGAAAAAGAGTTCCAGCTCTCTGTTGTGAAGAGAAGGTGACAAATAATTTTTCTTTTGTAGATGAGCAGGTGGTGATGGGCAACAAGCTGCTTGTATATATAAGGTAAGGTCCTTTAGACAGTGTGTGAGGTGTAGCTCAGTGGTGGCACCAAATTTTTAACTTGTTGTAGTTGCCTAATCCTATAGTGTGCCCCAAGGTCTGAGAGGCTGCTCTGCACAGCTGACTCAGCTCCAGGGGCTCCTCAGGGTGCAGCATCCCAGTGGATAGGCAGGATAAAGGTGGAGGCTTGGAGCTCAAGTTACTGCTGATATGCCAAGATCATGTCTTTAGAGTTTGATGGAAGGGCAAAGAAGCTTGTGAGCAAAGCTGAGTTCCCCCATTCCTTCCCTGCTGTGGAATGATGTGTCTTGCAGATTCATGCCATGTATTGTCTGTAACAGCAGTGCTGTCTGCAGTGCTTGCTTTCATGGTGTACAAACTAAATTGGGCTTGTTTGAAGAGCATCTTGAAAACTAAGCAGACTGAGAGCAGCTGATTTTTTGAGGTAATTTTCTCCTCCTTTCCTGCAGCTGCTGCTTGGCAGGCCGTGCATACCCTTTGGGTGATATTCCTGAAGATCTGGTACCTTTGATTAAAAATCAGGTGAGCAACCTTTCAGAAGGAAACTTTTTCCACACGAGTTTTTTGGAAGAAGCTGCATATGTCCTAATTCATGGGTTTCTGGTACAAAACTGTTATCCATCTGGTAGCTATATCCTTGTGATTTGAGGATATACCACTGTAAACATTTTTAAAAGAATGAGATGAAACTGTTGCCATCTGAACATTTAAACTTAATATTTTTCTTTCAACTTTTTGTGGGAACATAGGGTTCCTAGTGGAACAAATTTTGACTGGTTGGGTGTTTTTCTTCATCATTCTTTACCATAAAGTTAGCAGAAATTTGTAGGTGTCTCTTTGCTCTAAATTTGACCAATACATGTCAAATATGGGAGGATCTCCCTTGTTTTCAAACCTGTGTTTGACAGTAGAAAGTGGGATAACATGAAAAATCATTATCTAAATATTCCTTCCTCTGTTTGACTGTTACTAAAACTTCCAGTTTTGTTGGAGTTTTCCTGCCTCAGTTATTACACCCCTGACCTCTTTGCAGAGCCAGGTGTAAAGTCATGTTCCACAATGAAGGTCCCACTAGATGCATTTCAGTGTTTGCCCTAATATCCTGCCACCATATCTTCATCTCTGAGGCTGAATCTTTTCCACTTAAGGTAGAGATTTAGTAGGTAGCAATGTCTCTACTGAGTAGCTCCTACTTGCAGATTTCTCTGAGGCTTTTGAATTTTATGGCCTTAATTTTATTAGTGTGTGTTCATGCTTGTCTCTGCTCATCCAGAAATTGTATTTGCTGAAGATAAATTTCCAGCCTTGTGACAACTGCAGGTATTCAGCTGAAGTCAAGAAGACTTTGTAATCAAGTGTTCCAAGCTTCATCCTTGTACCCTTGGCCTGCAGGGTCAGCCAGCTGCCTGTTTGTGGTGGCTGCTCCTCTGCCACTTCACACAGTTGTGTGTGGGTAGTTGTTTGGCAGAGCTACTTAAAGGTTCAGAGTGGTACAACACATCTCTGCTTGGATTTATCTTAGGAACCCCTCTTGAGAGCCTCCTTTGGCAGGAAGAGGTCACAGAACTGGGAAAAGGTTTAACATTAGGTGTCTTTTGGTACTTGGGAGAGAAAGGAGGATGCAGTCAGTTCTGAATTTAAGTGAATCATTTCAGTGATAGCCCAAGCAGCAGCAGTAGCTGTGGGGAGGAACCATCAACCTCTCCTTGTTATGATCTCTGAGAGTGTTCCTGAGAGCTTGGCCTAAGGAACACCTTTGTGTCTGGATATTTGAGTCTACTCTTGAGTCTGGGGTGTTTTGGTTTGTTCTCTTGAGAGTTCCTAGCTGGCAGGAGGGTATCAGGTTCAAGGAGGCCAGCAGGAAAGATTGTGGGTCTGAAAGGCAAGCTGCTAACTCCTCCTGGCTTCACTGCCACTGTGGTAACAGGAAAATTAGCTTGGAACAGGAGTGCAGGAGAGAATGTGACATTTTCTGAGGGTGGCTGGGAGAGTTTATTGCCCATCAGTTCTCTGTGGGATCCCTGTGTGTATCTTTGCCCATACCCACAAGCACTAGCCAGTCTGCAGCAGCTTGCTCTCTCTCTGCTGGTAGCCAGATCTCTTGTGAGCACATTTGGGACAACTGGAGCCCTCTTTGTTCCCTGGAAGGGTCTGAACACCTCTGTCAGTGGCTCAATAAAGGCAGCTGCCTTCATTTTCAAAGATATGCTCAAATTTCAGCAACTAGAAGGTCAGTGGAGAAGGTGGAGAGTTGAATAGCACCTAAGTCAGTCTTTGCAGTGCCAAAAGCTTTTTGCCTCAAAGGGAGGGGGAAGATTGACAGGCTCTTCCTGAGGGAACCCCTGACAAGGAGAGGAGCTGTGCCCTGGATAAGGAGCTGCACAGCTCCTCGGGAGGGCTGCCAGGGAGGGGAGGGAGTTATCTAACTTCACACGCTTCAGCCTGCAAGCATAAGCCTTAATTTTTTGCTTTGTCTTAAATTTTGCTTGATCTTAAATTAGTTGGCAAGCCTACAGGGGGGGGAATTTTTTCCCTGCTAACAAGCAGCAGAAAACATCATCCGAGTAAGAACGCTGATGGGCCCCTTAGTGTGCTTTAAAGTGCCAAGCATTTCATGCTGCTTCTCTCCCAAGCCCTTGTGCTGTCAGCTCTCTGAGATCCAGAGGAACTGATGTGTGGGTTTCTCTGGCAGGTCTTTGAGTTCCTCATCAGGCTGCACTCCGTGGAGGGCTCTGTGGACGAGGAGCTCTACCCCCACATCCGCACCCTGCTGCGCTTCGACACGCGCGAGTTCCTCAACGTCCTGGCTCTGGTGAGACATGGCTCCTCTCCTCCAGGGGGCAAATGCCACGCCAGCTCTTCCATCACCCCTCTCCTGGCTGCCTGGGCTGTAAGGTTTCTGTTTAAAAGTTCACGTTTTAGCTAAGCCAGAGGTTACTGGCTTGATGTGTGTTCTGTCGGAGGAATCCGTCGTCCTATATGTCCTAAATATAAAAGGATGAGGCCCCATCCCTGGGGGTCTTTAAGGCCAGGCTGGAGGAGGCTCTGGGCAGCCTGATCTAGTGGGAGGTGTCCCTGCTCATGGCAGAGGGGTTGGAACTGGGGGATCCTTGGGGTCCCTTCCAACCCTGACAGGTTCTGATCTGTTTTAGCAGAGGACTTTAGAGCCCTCATGGCTCAATGGTTGGACTGGATGATCTTGGAGGTCCCTTCCAACCTAAATGAATCTATGATTCTATCATGACATTATAGAAAGGAGACTCTAGTAACAGAGGCCATCTTTAAAGCAAGTAAAACAAGGGTAATAAAATCAAGTCCATGGTTGGACTTGATGATCTTAAAGGCCTCTTCCAACCTTAAGGATTCTATGATTCTAATGTATTTGTAAAGAGTGTTTTAGTACCTACATCTTTCTCCTGCATGGTTTCATCCTTCTTCCTTTCCAAATTTTTAGATTTTCCTGTACTTTAGGTTTTCCTGTACTTTTTTACCTATTACTTTTAGCTGAATATGTAAGAACCAGTTTTGTAGTTACAAAAGAGCAATTTCTATCTTAGAACCTTCTGCTTAGGTGAAATGCACAGGAAGAACCTAAAAGCATTGTCAGCCTTGTGGTATGGCTGCTTCTTCTGTTTGCTTGTGTTCCTGGGGTTGGCAGTGGAGAGCATTCTTCTCAAGGTGTCACTGTTTTGCCTCACACAGACTTTTGAAGACTTTAAGAATGACAAGCAAGCTGTGGAATACCAACAGAGGATTGTGGACATACTTCTGAAAGTGAGTGTGCCTAAAACTTATCCTCTTGGTTTACATCTGGCTGGTTATATACAACACTGTGCAGCAAGCCTGTCACTTGGATGAGGTGTTTCCAGTCCTGCCCTGGATGACAGCTCTGAGGATGTGGTGGGCTGGGGCATGGGTTCACCTCAACCAAGGGCATCAGTTGCATATTTAGAATTGAGGATTCATGCACATTAAATATGGGGACTGAGAGGTCTCCTTTCCTATCTGTCATTTCACCTGGCTTGTACTTTGTTGTCAAATTTCTTCTCTCTGCACTGTTTAGTTTATTTTTATCTGCTTCTCATTGATTACACTCCTGGATTCCTTCTGAGCTAGAAAAAAAGGTCCCAGGAATTGGGTGCTCTGATAAAACCCAGCTCCCTCTCTCTGTAAAGGCTGTGTTTGGGATGTAGCATTCCCAGAATGACAGGCCTATCTTTAGTAAATGGGAGAGAAGAGGAACATCAGCCTGATGCTCCAGAAATCACTTGTCATCTGCAGCCCATGTTCCTGAACAATGAGTGTTCTCATTAAGAGCTATCACTGCCACACAGAGATTGCTTTCCCCTTCAAAGCTGTCAGCATTCATCATGAGTAACTCCACTTGGAAGCTGTTTATGTATAAACATACCATAAGTAGCATCTCCCTGTCACTTTGTCATTGACAGATGAGTGTAAGGGCACCAGCAGTTAATTTGGTGAGGGTGCTGCTGCAGCAGCCTGAGCTGGAGGGGCTGAGATGGTGCCACTGGGCTGGAACTTCCACGAGCCTGCTTGAGCAGGATGTTGCTGCAAGGATATTAGCCCTGTGCTGGGTTAGACCAGGGTTTTTTTGGTGTCATTAACTTCTGTCAGCAGGAGGTGGCACCCTGCAGCTGTTTTCTGGAGCTGCTGGGAATGCATTCCTGTGGCACAGCACAGAGAGGTTAACAGCCCTGTTCTGAGCTGCTGGCCCTGTAGCAAACATCCACTGGGACAGAATTCAGCCCTGCTCTTGGAGGGGAGGAGGAGGGCAATTGTGAGCAGTGCTGCAGCATTAAATGCATCTGCAGGCAAACAATTTGGTGTTAGGAGAACTCTCAAGTCCCTTGGTCTGGAATCTGTTCTCCTTTTGGTTAAACATATAAGAAAATCTTGAAACTTACTATTTAAATATATCATTAGCAGAAAAGAAAGCACTTATGAAATAACTGCACTTTGGAAATAGTTTGGTCAATGCAGACATTCTGCTAAATCTGCTGTAAACTTTGTCAACTCTACCATCATTCAGAAAGTCCTCATGGTTGGCCTGCAGCCTCTGTGAGGTTGCTTTGTTTCAGAGGTGCAGTATTTTCACCTTCACATGGGCTGATGAGGACCCATCATGGTTTTTTTTTTGTCAAAAACAAAGCCCCAGTGAGTAAAGCACTCCTCTTGTTTTAGCTAGTTATATTTTTAATGCTATTTGCTAACACCATTCTGACTGGGCTTCTGTATGAACCCTTTTTAAACAGAAAATGAAAATTAAAAGAGAATGATAGCATTAGTTGGTGTGTCAAGCAGAGCCCTGCTTGATTCCTTAATGTGTCTTAGGTGTCTGCTTCCACCTGTTCCTTAGGTGCTTCCTCTGCCCCTGAGATAAGCATTAGATCTCTGCATCTGGAACTCCAGGTCACTTTAAGAAATCATTTGTACCTCCCAAGCTTCAACTGAATGAGGTTATAAACTCTGAGATGCTCTGTGTCTAGGCTTTGCTAGAGGAATTCTTAGATGTTAGCTGACAGAGTTGTTCAGGTGGTGGATTTCCTCCCAGCTAAGCCCACTGCTCTTGGAGGGAGACTCTCCAAACAGCAGCATTTCACTTTCCCTTAGTGTTTAGGACTTTTTTAGAAGCATGAGACACCAACTCAGGACACATCATGCTTGGTTTTTATATGCCAGGCAGGTGACAAGCCCTTCTCAGACATCAATCCCTTTTGTAGTGGCTCTTAGAAATTCTGGTTTTCTGTAATTTGAAGTCAGCACAGCCAAGAGCTTCTCAAAATATTCATAGACTAACAGATAATGTAATGTGAGAAAAGAAACTTCTCCCCAAACCTACAGTTACTGCTTAGTCATTGGATCAGTTTTTCAGCATCCCACAGTTGAAGTGGTGAGTCCCTGGGGCCTGCAGCCAAATGTATTTTGGTTTTGGTGTGGGTTTTTTTCCCTATAATTATTAGTTTTATCTTTTTTCCTCATACAACAACATTTCTCAGCTCCAGAGCTCTGTTACATGGTCAGTGATCAGCACAGATTCCAGAGATAGAGATAATAGGGGTTTAGGGCCACTGCACACCCAAAAATTGGGGACATGCAAGAATACTTCCCTAGAATATATGGCAGAGATGTTAAGCCTCTTCAGCTTTCAGACAGAGGTCTTTTGTCAAGGACACATCTGCTGTTTGTGTCTTCAGGTGATGCAGAGAAAAGGCAGGGAAGGTGGCTTATCTTTTGACCTTCAGGATGGACTGACACCAGGGGATTTTGTAGCTATCTGGGGTAGGAGGAGATGTGATGGCAACACAGGAGTATCTTGTAGCAGTGTCCTGCTTGCTTTCCTAAAGACAGCTGCAGAATCCATCACTTGTATTTTTTATTTTCCCCTTTCTAACCCTCCCCAGGTGATGGTGGAGAATTCTGACTTCACCCCATCACAGGTTGGCTGTCTCTTCACCTTCCTGGCCCGGCAGCTCGCCAAGCCCAACAACACTTTGTTTGTGAACAGGACACTTTTTGACCAGGCAAGTACATGTGAGGGGTGAAAACAGCTCCAAGCAGGGTGCAGCACTGCAGGAAGTGTGGCTAGTGCTCTAGGCTGAAGCAATTCTGGAAGTAGCTGTGCCTCATAAAACAGGCAGCATCTTGCTGGGACTGGGTGGTTTCAAAGGAGTAGGAGAGACCACAGGAGCACCCTATTTCAGCTTGCCTGATAGAATTATGTCCTAGGAGATGGAATGGCAGATTCCTGAGGTCACTGGTGTGTCAGGAGGGGTGGAAGGCCAGGGCCCATAAGGGCAGGAACCAAGCTGTTTGTCTTTCAGCCCCAGGGAGCACTTTGTTAGCTCTGCTGTCATGTTGTGCCTGTGAAGATCCCATATGGGGTGCCAACTGAAATGACATCAGTGAGCTTATAGAGCACAAGTGTGTAACTGGTAATTTCTAGTCTGTGTGGCCACTACTCTGCTGTTTGAAATAGGCTGATGTGCTCCAGTGCATGCTGGAAGCTTCCATGGGTTACATTTATATCCCAGCTTAAGTCCCAGGAATTCCTGGGACTGAGATTTCAATAGCTATTGCAGTTGTGCTTTGATGATAATATGGATATATGAACACTAATAAAAAATGAGTTATGAAATAAATGTTCCTTTTTTTTCACCATTTAAGAGCAAACAACTCTCTGAAGGCTAAATGGATTTGGATTAAACACTTCAATTACAGATGTGTTAAATTTTATGCATTAGATGATTTTCTGTTTCTCTGGGAGAGATGGCACAGCCCAGAGAGAAGTCAAGAGGGTCACCACAGTGGTTCCAGCTGTTTGGTGTGTAGCCCACACACACAGGACCACAGGGTCTCCTGAGTTCCTCTGTATCCCCTGGGTTTGCCAGAGCTTGGTTCTAGACCCTGGTGCAGAGGGATGGATTCCCCTCCCTGGAGTCTTTCAGCAGCTCTTGGTCACTGCGGTGTTAAGTGTCCTTATTTCTAGGGCCAAGTAGAGAATACTTTGCAGATGAATAGTACATTGAAATTTTACATTGTGTTCTGATTTGCTCTTGCCATTCTTGGTGCTCCAAATCTGCTTGTTAGCCCAAACCTCACTAGGCCTAACTCCTGCTAACTTCTACCTTGCACAGGTCCTTGAATTTCTCTGCAGCCCAGATGACGACTCCCGCCACTCTGAGAGGCAACAGGTAATAATGCACAGTTGAATGGGGCAGGAGCTGTGACTTTTTTTTCCTTTTAACAGCACTGGCTGTCCAGCTCCTACTGCACTATAAATAACTGGTCTTCAATATCTGCAGGTGCTTTTAGAATTGCTCCAGGCAGGAGGGATAGTCCAGTTTGAAGAGAGCCGTCTCATCCAAATGGCAGAAAAAGCTGAATTGTAAGTTGCTGTGTACAAGATATAAATACTGCCTTTAAACCTTGTGTGTGGTATTTAAACACTGCCTTTAAAGCTCTTCCAAAGCTTTTTTTCCTCCCCATTTCTTGTTCCTACTTCACAGCTGTGTTTGGATTGTTTTCCCTGTGCATTCACATATGCTTCATTTAATGTGTTCATGTTTAGTCTTTCTGTCTTATCTCTACTGGGTGTTCTTACAGAAAGCATTGTTAAGAGGGGGTAGAGCTCTGGAAACCCTTCAGCATGAAACCCTTGATGAGTTTTGGCACTTTCTGTCATAGAGCCCAGGCTTTGTTCAAAGGTATAGTTGTGTATTTGAATGCACTGCCACTGACAGATGGAGATGACTCGTTGGGGTGAGACCTACAGGTGGATTTAAAAGCATGAAGGGCTCTGGAGCCACCCCCATGGTGCTCATTTTAGAACTGAGTAGGAGACACACACAGTGTCTGGAAAGGCTAAAAATTTCCACCATCTCCTTTAGATGCTTTACACTTCCAGTGTGTCATGCCTGAACAGTCAACCAGGGAGGGCATCTTCATCCAAGTCTTGAATGTGGATGTTTGTGAATTAATCCACTATACTACAAAGGACCAGAGGGGTAGAAGTGTAGTGGAGGGGGTTCCCATGCCTGTTTTCCTGTGTTTCCTACCAATCACTCAACCAAGTTTCTCAGACTCCATAAATGCTTTTTTTTTCCTCCTTGCTTCAGTGTGTCTGACTGCCAGAACCACCAGCTCAGCCACTTCCACCAGAGTTAAAAACCCTACAGTATAATACTACCTAACAGACTTTTCATTTGTTTTGCCTCAGTGGCATCTCTTTTATCTGGTCTCAAAATATTTAAGATGTTGATGAACATTTGAAGGTAGGAAGCTGTGTAATAACACACTGAGTCACATTCAGCCTCTTCCTTCAAACGACTCTTGTGGATTGGCCTCGTTTAGACAATTCCAGATGCTCTTTGTAAAGCAAGCTGTGTTTTCTTTTGAAGAAAATATGCCAAACTGTGCTGGATCTGAGCTACCTACCTCTGTTCTGCTGACTCAGCTGAGTGAGTGTGGCTTTTTCCTAATGTGGAAAGTGTTTTTCCTTTCAGCTATCAGATTTGTGAGTTCATGTATGAACGAGAGCTTCGTTATGACAAAATAATTGACTGTTACCTGCATGACCCTGTCAGAAAGGTGAGTAAATCTGGTGCTTCTGGGCCTTTCTTCCTCATAGCACTGCAGCCTGTGCTGCTGGCCAGAGTGGGAATGGGCAGAACAGTCCTTCTCTTCTGTTATACTTCTTGATCTTAAAAACTGTCCTCTTTTACAGTTGTTTTCTTAGGTAGCTTCTGCATGTCTATTAGTTGCACATCTGCCACAGATTTTTGAGACATTCTCTTCCCTACCACCAACAGAGTGGAGAGGAGAGTCTGGCAAATCTCATTTCACCAGCTCCTTGTGAAAACACTATGCTGAAAGTTGTGTGGCTGAAGGAGGCAGAAGAGAGAGGTTGTGATAGGGAGGTGGTCAAAAAATATGGTACTAGAGAGCATTTGAGCTGAGGATGGTGCAGGAGAACCTTGGGGGGAGGTTAATGTTGAAGAGGAATTCAGGGATGTGCTGGGAAAACTGACCTGCCCTCTGGTAGAGGGTTCTGTTCTCTGCCTGTGCTCCTAGCTAGCAAGTGATGTCCCCCTCCTGCTCCCAGGGGAAAAAAGACATTTCTAATAGCAGAAGAACAATTCTCTTTGACCTCAGTGCTTAACACACTTAGCATCAATTCTGTTCCTCCTGGCTGCTTTTTTTTTGTCTCCCTGGCAGTTGTTCAGCAACTATTTAGGAATGTGTAATCTAGACTGCAGATAACTTATCCTGACTTGTTGAGAGAGGACTAGCCCTGAGGTCATCCTGAGACTCTTTGAAATGCCCTTCCTTACCAAAATCTACTGCTGTTAGTGGTGCTGCAGAACTTACTATGCCATTTGTGGTTTCATTCCTCACAGGAAGAAGTTTTCAACTATATTCACAACATCCTGTCCATGCCTGGCTACAGTGCTGAGGAAAAGCAGTCAGTGTGGCAGAAAGCTTTGGAACATATAGAGGTACAGGGCATCCTAAACTCATCATGCCTCAGCTACTGCCAGCTCCTGTTGGATCTGCCTAGTGCTGAGGTGTCACACTGTTGAATCACAACTGTGCAGAAAGCTCTGACTTGAAGGTTTAGCAGGCCCATGCATTAATGGAAGTGCATCTCTTAAATTCAGGCTGGTGTCCTTGGTTTCCTGGTTTCAAGTATTGCTCTTTGGATAATGGGGCCTTATCAGGGGATGATGGCTGGTGAGTGCTGTGTGGCAGGGAAGGGATCCATTAGCAAACCTTTCATCTCCTGAGTGTGCAGCAGCAAGGTCAGGACATTGACATCACCACCCTCACAGGCTATGGTATCAAATTCCTCATCTTGCAGTGAGAATAGCATTCAGCCTTGGTACCCTGGCTCTGTGACCCCTGCAAAGATGGGGTCCTGACTTCTGCTGTAAGACACAGACTGTTGGTAGACTTCTCTAGCTAATAATAGTTCCCTTCTCTTCAATCTCCCCTTGCTTCAGGGGATGGAGATGTGTCTGAAATAACTGTCCATTCAGTAGACATTGGGAATCCATAATACCTCTAATTCCTGTAAGGTGCTGCCAGTCCCCTCCAGGGTGATCTGGAGATAAATCAGGACAATAACTGTCAGTAAAACAAGCAGACATGCACTTGCCCAGACTCCTTAGCAGAAAATAGCCACAGAAGTCCATACCCTGTGAGGTGCACAAAAAAGTACTAGGTACATTTGAAAGCTAGGAATACTTTGTCTCCACCAGCAGCTGCAAGTACTGCATGAGTAAAGAGACCATGGACCAAGGGGGAAAATTATTCAAATTAATAAAGAAATCCTGTGGATCCAGCTCACTGAGCTCATGCCCTCTCTGCAGATGCACTTTCAGAGCCTGTGGGAACTGCTGGTGATGCTCGTGCTGTGGCTGAGCAGCCCTGGCTCCTTCCTGCCTTATCCCAGCAACTCTGGTTCCACACTGCACTTCCCCAGCTGAGCCAATTGCTGTTTACTTTGCTGCTTCCTCATGTCTGCTTTGTTCTGCTCCTGCTGCATCCCTTGGCTTGTGTTGGAACATACAGCCCAAACCATTTGGCACTGTGAGTGAGTCAGCCTGTAAGCCTTATTTTGTGTCTTTATCCCATCACAGGTAGGTCTCCTTGCTGGATCTCTTCAGAGAGAGATTTACAGTTGCTGCTCTGTGCTTGGGTGTCTCCAGACAAATCAGAAGTGTCCTGAGCTGCCCTTCCTGATGTTTCTCACTGTGCTGTACTGGTTTTGAAAACCTTGTCATGGGCTAAGACTGACAGCTTTTCACATGGAGTTGGTTGGTTTTGTTTTCTCAGCCTGGAGCCCTGTCTTGATGATTGAGCAGTGTCAGAAGTGCCCAGTGCCCAACTTGTCAGAGCTGCATACTTCTCTGAAGTTGGCAAAACAGAAAATACTCCTCTCAACATGTCCACGGCCATCCTTAAGAACAGGACTCCTTGCACTGCTCCATCAGCCCTGCAGATAATGGGCAGCTGTTTTTATCTGGGTTTTTTTTGCAGCTTCCTCCAAAAAGCTGTTGGGCAGATGATCAGTTCTGTAGGTCACCTTTCTTGGTTGCTGTCACTGAGACCAGCTCCCTCTTCCCTTTTGGCATCTGCCATTTCCCAGGATTGGTGAACAGGATATATAATTTCATGTGGCTTAGCAGCCTACTAGCTGCTGTGGGCTGTTGCTCTTTTCCAGACTTTGAGAAGACTTAAAATAGCAAATAGCATTTTACTAGGATGGTGCTGTGATTTCAGGTCTTTGAACAACTGTCCTTTCATCTGCTGAGATATGGAAGTAGCAAAACAGCCTCTTCAGTTGAAACTAACAGTGTCTAGAGAAGCTTTCCTGGTGATCATATGACAGAAAGTGGGTTTTGTAATCAGTGCCTCTTCTTTTCTCCATCATCCTACACAGCTGTTGTTCCATGATGTTTATCTTGAAAATAAAGCCTAAGGCTTCTCCTCAGCCACAGTGCTCTTTGTGGTGGTCACTTTCTCTCCCCAGACCCACATGCCTTGTGTCAGGACTTGCCCCCTCAAGGGCTCTCTACCCTGTTTGCAGGTTGTTCAGATGTGGGACAGGATGAAAACCCAAGCCCAAAATCTTTAGGTTGGATGTAGGCTGTGAAGGTGACAGTCACTGAAGAGCTGCAGTCAGCTACAGGGAGTCTTGGCCATCTCCCTCCAGCCAGTCTGGCTGAATGTGGTGGCTACTCCATCTATCTGGAGAACAAGCAAGTGTTGGGTAACTTTTTAAGATTTTTTAAAAAAAATTATTATTTTCTTCCAGATATGTCTGTGATTCTTTTTCTTTACCACTATAAGAGCTGGTTTTGTTTAGTAAAGCAATGTTTTCTCCTTTATAGGCTTAGCAGGGTTCTTTGGGAAGGGTTCCTAGGTACCCAATATTGGTTTGAAGCCATTGCATCTCATTTGTTTGGAAGCATGGATGCATTTGGGAGCATTAGGAGCAAAAAACTCAGGTTCTGATTTGTGTAAACTTTTATGCTATAAAGCCTCTTAGATCAAGCTTTGACAGGAGACAAACCTACAGGCATTTAAAAGCCTTATTGTACTGAAAAAAAAATTCAGGTTTTTTTCACATCTGGACAGGTAATACTTGCAGTTAACAGTTACAGGTTTTCTGGTTTAGTTGAGCTCAAGCCAGTTAAACACTGATTCTGTCTGACTGAGAAATTCCCTGGGGTCAGCTGAGGGCTTTGTTGCCTCTCTACTGCTGGCTGCTAGTTTGCACTAGGAATGTCTTGTTGGCAGAGGGTAAAAGGCAGTCCTCAGAAAACCTGAGGAATCATTTCCTTCCCTTAGAACTGAGATGTGATCTCCTTGGTGTGAAGACTTCTGCCTTCTTACAGGCTTGCTCTGTAGTAAAATCATCAACCTTCAAAAATGCATTTTTACAAACTACCCATCCTGATTTTTCTCAGAATCACTTTTTGTGTGTTGGTATTCATTATTTTACAACTTTCATCTAGGCAAAGATGCAGTTACAATACAAATGGACCCAATGACACCAATTAAGTTGCCTATGAAATTAAAAGTAATTATATCTCTTGTGTTTCCCTCTCCAAAGGAGCTGCTGTTACTGAGCCCCTGTAAAGCAGCTGACCTGGTAGCCATTCACTTCAGTGAGCAGATTGAGAGCATCATTACAAACCTTCAGGTAAAGACTTCACTGATGTTGGTGCCTCTTTGTGGTGGGGTTGCCATTCTGGTTAGAAATGATTGCTAAGAGTGAGGATGAGTTGTGGCTGTGTCATAAACAGAACAAAAATAGTTTGATGCCTACTCAGAGGCAGGAATTGCTACAGTTCAATTATCTGGCCTGTTTGTAGAGTTCTGGCCATAAAAATGTGCAACCTTTGAGTTGCTGTTTGCAACACTGGTTATGTAGTTTTCAGCTTGGAGTTCAGTAGGGCTTGTACTCAGAGATCAGAGCTGTTGTCAGCAAAGGTATCCTCTGAGTCTTGATGCCTAAAGCAGCCTCCCCAGCAGGCTCCAGCTCTGAACAGGATTGCCTTCAGTGGCTGTAGTTCAGGAGTCACTGGCTCATGGTACATCATTATAAACAGTAATACTTTGCCTTCTCTTCTCCAGGACCAGTTCTTACTCTTCCAGTTCCTGAGGAGTCTCCTTGACCCAAGGTATGTAAGAAAATTGGGGACTTTACAAACTACAGCTTGAAAACACAGGTTAAAATCATTTCCTTTCAGACAGCCTACAGCCAAGATTAAGGCTTAGAAAAGGTGACTTGCTCTTCAAACTGCCTCAAGCTGAGGACAGCCCAGAAATAAGTGTTCTGGGGAGTGTCCTTTAGCAGAGCCCTTGCTGGCTTCCCAACTGGGAAGGGGTGTGGGTTCCACCAACGCCTCCCCCACGCTGCTGGGAGTTTGGACACTGCTCTAACAGCTTCTTTGAGAAGGCTGTGAAATGGTTCCCCTGTGACTGAAACTGCCATTTCTCTTCTCAGAAATGGCACTTTCTGTTCTCAACCCACCAACTTGATTGCTTGACCAAGATGCCTAAATTTAAACAAAAATAGAAAAGCATTTTTGGTCTATTGGCATTTTTAATTTCTATCTTGTTTCAGAATTGCTGCCATGTTTCACTGTAAACTTCTCTTTACTTGCTTGCTCCATCTGCTCTTCTTCCTTTAGTAGTTCTGCAGTGAGTGTTCTCTTTCTGCTGAATCAGTTTCAAATGCTGCAAGACCTTGATTTTATTTATTTTGTAAGACATTTATATATGTGCAGCTCCAAGTGCCTTCAAGCAACTGTTAATGTCATTGAAAGATAGATCTTGTTTTGTCAATTAATTTCAAATTAATTGTGCTTTATGAGAAGTAGTAGGAGGAAAAGGTAATATTATCTACATTCAAGTGTCAATGTTTATGTTTAAAGTGGGATAAAAAACATGTTTTAGAAACTAGAACATGGAATTTATCACTTTCTGGATTTTTTTTTTAGGATGTAAATAACAAGACATGTTTTATTTCCTGAGTTTTACAGCTGTGTTTGTACAGGAGTTGTTAAGTTCCACACCTGTTGTTTTCTAAGAAGTCAAAATCAGAATTTTGCCAAGAAAATATCTTGGCTGCATTTTATAGAAGTGAGATTTAGATTTAGTTAATAAACAACTAAGAAAAACCAATGGAATAGTTAAGTAGCAATGATATCCAGCAAGATGTTAAGGAGGACTCTGTTTATGCTGTGAAATCACTTGCAGCAAGTGAGACCCAGTGAAGGTAGCAATTAACCTGGATTTTAATCTTATGCATAAAGTGGCTTCTATAATCTCAGAATAATAAATGTATCTAATTTAACTCTACCATAATTAGAGCTAAACACAACCATTTCTCCTGTACTTATCTATAATCAAAAGCAGCACATGACAGGTTTACACCTGGGATAGGAGGTACCTTTGTGTTTGGATTCACATGTGGCAGTGACTCACTGTAAAGCAGATGTCTGGAACCCCAAAGTTGAACTACTCTTAAGCAGTATTATCAGTAAGGAATGATCTGCAGAGATCCTAGATTGCTGGAGGGGCTTTTTTCTTAACACTCAAGGTCTTGTGGTCTGTGTTCAGTGCTGTATCCTGAGAAGAGGTAGGAAAGGAGGGAGAAACCTTGTTATCAAGACCTAATACCTTTATTCTGTACTGTAGCCATACATAAAATAGGGATTGAGGTCTTCTGAAAGCATCTGGCTCTTTTCAGTCAATCTAAGTGTTTCTGTGCTTCTTTGGAGGAAAATTCTTACTCAAAGACTCTTAGAGCAGTAAATGAGCTTTGATGATGCTTGATCATATGGGAACAAGGCTCATCATGCTAGTATAACTATCTGAGTTGGTGGAATTGCATTAGGGATTAATTTGGCCCATTTAATTTAGTTGGAGATTTCTTCTAAAGGAGATGGACGGGGGAAGGGAGGGAACAGGGTTAACAGAAATTGCCTGGGGAAATTAAAACCAAATGTCCCTGTGTTTGTACCTTATAAGCAGGCCCAGAGAAGGGAGGGTGTAGTGTGTATTGCTCAGCTCATTAATTAGCCTTTGCTACAGTGCCTTTTTAAACTCTTCAGGTTGTTCCCCTGTAAAAAACCAACACAAAGTGGATATCTGTCTGCAGTATGCAGTTGTGTATTACACCAACAATAGTAACTTATTTAGCTTTCTTTCCATTCTCTCTTCTCTGCATTTCTTGAATGAGGTGATTAATGGACTTGCTCATGAAGTCATGAATACTGGGTGCCAGAGTTATTCCCAGACTAGGTGGTCATTCTCCTGCAAAAAATGTATGATTTTCCATTTTTGCTGTTGTGATACAGAGATCATTTTAGATGGAAAGTGCTTCTTTTAGTCCCCAAAAGAGTAGAATGTTCACTCCCTTACAGGCACTGGGGGGGTTTATAGGATGTGTGTTGTAGGAGGAGTGGATGGTGAATGCAGGAGGACAGAACTTAGGGTTCTGGTTTGGTCTTTCAAAAGTCTCTTCTTTATTTGATGCCAGAACACAATAGTTTGGATTTTTTCTACAACACTGTTCATACTTTGGACAGTATGATCAGTACCTGAAGAAGGTTTTCATTTGTGGGCAACTATAATTTATGATCAAGTGATTGACATTGTAATCACAGTGAGCTGCTTTTGGCTTGCTGGTGGCACAGTGCTCTCCTGGCCTTTCTTAGATGATAATAAACCTGTTAGCTCTTGTAGCTAGCAGGAAATATAGGATCATATTGTATATCAGACCCCCAGCCCATGACTGTAGAGTTCACACATGAATACATCTTCTCTTGATCAAGAATTTCTGTTCAGAAAGGTCACAAAACTGAATACATACCTTGATCTGTTTTCTTGCCCAACAGGAGCTTCAGAACAGATTTAAAAGCCCTGTTTCCTAGGCTGGATAAACTTCTCACTGTTTCTCTGCATGCTGCATCAATCATAGAACTGCCACATGAAGGAGTTTAATGGGTGGTGGTGGGGACCTGAAACCAACACAAAGTGGATGCAGGTGCTCTGTCTGCATTTAGGAAATCATCATCCTTTCCATCTTAACACTCTGAAAGCTCTTGCTTCATGTTGCTCTTTTTAAAAACAGAGGATCAGTAGAAAACAGCCAGGACACAGGGACAGTCATGAGCACTGCATGCACTTCTGGTCTCTTTTTTTGTCTTCCCCAATTACTTAATTAGTAATAAACCAAGGGATTAGAAAGTGGCCATTGCATGAACCACTGCTGTGCCAGCAGCTGCTGCTGGAAAGACATGGAGAAATGGTTTTATACTGGGATGTTTTATTTGATTAAATGAGTTTAATTGTACCCTGAGCTTCACCTACAGAAGTGACCTCAGCTAGAATCAGAAGGGGAAGCCTCATTTGGCCTCCTGAACAGCTCAGGCCAGGCAGCAACATCCCCAGCCCTACCCAGAAGAGCACCAGGCCAGCACTGCTCAGTGCTTGACCATCATGGCAGTGTTATGGCCAGGTCAGAGGGGAGCAGGCAGATAACAAGGGCAGGAAGCACAGCAGAACTTGGAGACTTGGCCAGCCTGGGTTGACAGAGCAGGTCCCATGCTGGGAGGT